ATGAGTATCTATGATGCGATTGTTGTATGATGGTATGAGGGTGTCTGACATAATTATTATATGAGGTTTGTTGAGTGTATCAAAGTAATTATGCATGTTTTATAAATGATTGGTTGCATGTTAGCTCACCCTACTTGTTTGTGTTTGTGTATGTGCGATGATCGTATAATTCGTTATACGGGAGCAGATGGAGGAATGTCGTCTGATTCAGTGCCAATGAAAAAAGAGATAGAAGAATAAATTAGAAGAATTCGAGTTATATTTATGAGTTTGTAGTTGAAATCTAAGTTTAATATATATATATATATATATATATATATATATATATATATTAAACTATGAATTATCAAGTGTGAGGTTAAGGGATGTTACCACAATGCTACAATATATCAATAATTATGAAGTGTAAGAATACGGGATGATACATAAATACAAGATATAAGATAACTTAAAAATTTACTCAAAGTAAAAAAAATCTATGAAAGTGTTTAAAAAGTTGTACAATCCAAACTGCTCTGCCCTATTTCCCATGGAGGGATTCATGAAAAAGTCGCTATTTTCAGGGGATTATTCTTTCACACCCTTCAAAAATTATAATCTCACTTGACAACTGATTTTATTTTATTATCTTTATGGTTTTAATGGACCAAACAAACGCAAAATTGAACGTTAGAAACAAGCAAAGTGGGTTGTGTATGTAAGGGATGTTCATGTATTTTTACGCTGCCAAATTTATGTCGACGGTGTGGTGTATTTTTTCAATTTTGATTAGTGGTCGTACATAAAACGTTTGTATAAATCAAGAGAGGCTTAGTGATTTATTTATTTATTTATGAACTAATAAATATCCAAACCTCCAACTCGTAAATCAATATAGTTGAGTCGGATTTCAAATAAGTCAGAACAAGTTTTACGTATAATTGAAGTGAATTAATTTCTAAAAATAAGATTTTATATATAAATAAATAAATACTATTTATTAGTTAACATATATAAATGTACTGTATTGATTTATTTTTAAAATATTTATTTTAGTATGTTTCGATGGATACAAAATTAATTGTAACAAAAAAGAAGAACAATCAATGAATTATTGATAATAATGTAAATAATTCAACTTAAACACGATAGAAAAAAATATTTAAAATTGATGATTTTTTTAGTATTAATTAAAATTATAGATACCTTCTTAAAAAAGTAAAGATTAATTGGCATACATTAATTTTTAATGTGTCAATAAAATTTTTAAAAATTAAAATAAAATTCAAGTTTAGAACATCTATTTATAACAAAAAATATAGAAAAATTATTTTTTAACACACTTATATTTCTTACATTTATTTTACTTTTACTTACTTTTTTCTTTTTTTTAAAAAAAAAATATAAAAATTTACAGACTATTTTATCCTTAGTGAAATAAATGTAAAAATTGTCATGATATTATTGCTCTTACTCCATATATTAACTCATTTCTTCACCACTAAATTTAATAATGAAATACAGTATTTATGACTTGAATATTAAATAACATAATAACTCTCAAATAGCAAATAATATTTTTTTTATTCAATAATTAATGTTGCATCTGGAGGTTATATCTAGAAGTTTTAATTTAGAGTAATGATATCATAACATATTTTTTACATTTATTTGATATAAAAGATAATGGTAAAATAAAAAATAATGATAAAAAGATCATAAAATGTAAAATTTTATATTTTTTAAAAAAATAATAAAAAATAAGTAAAGATAATATCAAATATGTAAAAAATTTAGGCGTGTAAAATAATATTTTTTCATTAATTTATTCTGATCCCTTTAAGTTAGATCCAATGAAAAAGATGTGATTTTTTCAATATATGCTCAAGAAAACATGCGAAAATTATAAAGAATGAGGCAGAGACATCATTTTCATCATTATTCTTATTATTATCATCATTTTCATCATTATTCTTATTATTATTATTAGTTGTTACAACCAATAAAGAAAGAAAAGATGAAAATGATTAACCAACATATCACGATATTTACAACTTTTTATTTTTTAATAAGAGATCATGTGTCATTATTTTATCGATATATTTAAAATGGATCAATCACATTACCTTATAAAAAGATAGTGAAAAAAAGTTATTAAAAAGACCATTTTACTTAATCAAAAGGTTTTTGGTCTCTGCAATTCAAGTTAGGACCATATGAGAGCCCAAAAACGTCACAGTATCTCTTGTAAAACCCTATCCTATCACCTGAAGCTGGAGTAGGACCTTTCCCACATTCAAGTCCACCATTGATGATGTTCGTGATCGCACCAAAACCTGGGACTCTATTAGCTGCCCTGTCAGCAGCAGATGGGGTCCACCTGTTAGTGATCACATCATGGCATGAGGGTTTGTTCCCCTGTGGAGTCATCCAGAACCATAGAGCTGTCTTGAATGATACCACTGCATCTCTTGCCACCAAGTCTGGGTTGTTTATCAAGTCCACTCCCAGGGCTCTTCCAGCTTGATTATAGTTGTAGTTGCTGTTCCTCAAAAACATCAAAAATCATGAGTACCACATTAATTAATTCTATTGCTTCAAATGAAAACTGTTATATCATGTTTCAATGTACTTACTGGGTCAGTTGAATCGGCCCTCGACCATGGTACGATTTTCCTGCGGGACATGGTGCACTCCCATCACAATATCTGTTGGATTTATCTCTTTCTGTTACAAAGCAGTAACCCCACGCATATGGTCCATCTGGGGAAGTTGGTGCTCCTCCTACATCACATGCATCAAACATGTTTAATGTATAATGTTGTTGTAACATGAGACAATAGTTATAACTAAGGAAGTGAAAAATGAATGGTAAAAATAAACCTGTGGTTTCATGAGAGGTTTGAGCTAGGAAAGCTGCAACCTCTCTCTTGCGAGTGTTGGAATCACCAGTGGTTCCAAAACCACCGAAGGATCTAGCAGCGGTGATGAAAGCGTTGTAACTGTAGAAACCCTTGCCCTCACAAGCTTGATCATTTCGGTGTTTCAGTAGTTGCTCGAATAGGGAAGCACTGATTACACTTCCAACATCATCACCAACAGCACTACGAAAATACGATGAGCTTATTACTAGGATGTAGGCAAATGCAAAGGAAAAAGTGTGTAACTTCATATTTTCCTTTGTTTTATGCTATGAATGAAGTGTGTGTTTGAGTTGATGAGGCTGAAGGGTATATATAGTATAAAATTTCAGGTTTTCCCTTAATATGATGATCTCTTTGGAAAAGTAGCGATGGATTTTATCAGTATACACTGTTTTTCGTCTCTTTTTGTGCATGAAAAAAGGATTAAAAAATACTCAACCCACTTGCATTTTCAAGAAAAGAATGAGTGAAATACAGAGACATATGGAGTAAAATTGAGCTGGTTGTGTTTTCGTTAGTTTGTGAGGTTTAGTGGTGCGTGTGGAACTTTGGGTGAAAGGGACTTCTTCGGTGCTATTTGTTTTTTTTTTCAGAAATGGTATTTTGACGTGGAAAAGTTGTCTATATCTCTTTATTTAAATATTTTAATAATAATAATAATAAATAATAAAAGGCATGTTTGCAATTAAATGTTATAAAAATCACTAAAGTTATAGTAGTGAATGTTGTGATTTGGGTGAAAAGAAAATAATGGTTGTGAAAGTATGCGGGTATTTTTTTCCTTTCAACCCTTATTTCATCCATTAAATAAAAAAAAAAAAACATGTTAAAGAATGGAAAGGAGAGGGGCGAAGAGGTATGGGGGAAACTAGAGTTTGATTGTATTTTGATAAGTTTGTAGGATTCAGTTGTGTTTGTGAAATTTTAGGACAAAAGAGGTCTATTTCACGTTCTGAAACTCTTCTACATACGCTAAAAGGAAAGAGAAAATACTAAAAAATATGTAAATTTCTTACATTTTCAAGGAGAAAAAGAAGGAGAAATAAAGAGTCACAAAATAAAAACATTTCATCTATTATATTAATAATTTTTTCTCAAAAAAATAGCCCAAAGTTGTTTATCTTGCTCCCTTCATAAAAAGATTGGTCCACAAACTTAAAATAAAAGAAGGATTATTCATTTCTACACTTTATCAATATTTTCTCAAATTGTATAATTTTGGACTACTACTCAAAAAACATAATAAAGAGCGTGATCAAATAAAAACATCTTTATTATAAAACAACTTAATTTATTTAAGTCATATTTACTTATTATTAATTATTATGTTATTATTTATTATATTGTTATTATACACTCAAAGTAAATATTATTATAATAAAAACATAGACGTAACTTGTATTTTTCAATAAATAATCACTTCATAAATTATTATTCTCACCCTATTTTAAAAAATTCAAATTCTCTTATCACTTGAATGTGAGATAGTTTGTTGTAAAAAAAATAATTAAACCACCATTATAATCTCATCACTTATAAAAGATTATCTGAATAAAAACGAATTATTATTAGTTTTTGCACCTTATCATTTTTTTCTCATAATCCTATCATTTCAGATTTTATTTTTATAACACTTAAAAAAAAATTAGAGATATTTTTCTCATAATCCTATCATTTCGGATTTTATATTTCAGAACACTTAAAATAAATTTAGAGATTTTTTTTCAAAAGACAATTAGACCACTATCATCATGAAAAAAAAATATAGGAAATTTTTATGGTGGAGGGAGAAATTTGATAGGATAGAGGAAGCTTTTTTCATAAGAGTGTTTCATCCTACACCTCCAACATCTCATCCTGCACCTCCAAAAATTCCATTTTTAACTTTCTGACATATGCACCTCCAACTTTTCAAAAATTTTATTTTTTAATAAATATATTTTTATTTTCTTCTCTCTCTTATTAAAGATACTTTAATAAATACATTTTTATTTTTTTCTCTTTCTTATTAAAGTTCCTCTTCACCATTTTAATAATAATCTAATTTAATTTAAAATTTAAATATTATTTAATATAATTTTATATTTTAATAATTATTAAAATATGATTTATATCATAATAATAGTTATATTAAATATATAAAAATCAAATAACTAAAATAAAAGTAATAATGATAAAAATAAAAAATAAAATAATAATAACAATAATATAATATTTGCTTTAATATATTCAAATATATTAAATTATATTAAAATATTACAATAAATTAAAGAGTTATTAAATTTTAAATAAAAACTAAATTTTTAAAAACTTATTTATTGGATAGTTTTTTATTTAAAATATAATATATATTTTTATAATAGTTTTATTAAAATTACTAAAA